CTCAGGTCATGGTCCCAGGGTCCTGGGATGAGCCCCGCATCAGGCTCTCTGCTCAGCGGGGAGCCTGCTTCCTCCTCTCTCTCTCTCTGCCTGCCTCTCTGCCTACTTGTGATCTCTGTCAAATAAATAAATAAATCTTTAAAAAAAAAAAAAAGATGCTAAAAGCACCAAGGTCCTTCCAAATTCCCTAATGAGGATTCACACAGAGGGGAGAAGTTTCTCCAATAGGCTGGCTAAGGCTGGCTGAACCCCAAACTTTCCCCTAGAACCTCATCCCTCTGCTTCAGCATTGCTCCCAAGGTTCCGCTTGCCTCCCAGGAATGAATGGTTTCCAGACCTTTCTTAGGCACCTCAGCCATGGCACAATGGGACAGTGGCCTTGAATAGCCTCGTTGCCCTGTCCAGGCCTCACACACCTCAAGCAATGGCAGAGTTCAAGGTAAACACACTGGTGCTTTTCTGGAAGCTTCCTTCTTCTACTCCCCCACCAATGGGACAAAAAACTGCACCCAGAGTAGCCCTAAGTGCCCCCTCCTTCTCATCATTCATCAGGTTTAGTGAACTCTGGGGCCCCGTGAGCCTGAGATACTTAAAGGTGAGGAGAAGAATGACAATCTGATCCACGTCGGTTGTGCTTCCAGCTCTGCGTGTCTGGTTTTCAGGAGCAGAGCTGTCCACTTGTCTCTCCCCTCTGCCCCCACCAAACTCTTGTAGTCACTCCTTTCATTTTTTTCATTCACCAAATACTTTTGGGGGACCTACCATGTATTTAGCCCTGGGGCTACAAAAGCAAAGAAGCTAGTACCTTTCCTACTCTAAAGTACCAAGCATCAGGACCCCTGGAAAGCGCAGTAGGTTAAGGCTCTGACTCTTGGTTTCGGCTCAGTTCATGGTCTCAGGGTGAGATCAAGCCCCACGCTGGCTCCATGCTCACCGCAGAGTCTGCTTGAGATTCTCTCTCTCTTTCCCTCTGTCCCTCCCTCTCTTTCTTTCTCTCTCTCTCTAAAATAAATAAATGAATCTTAAAAAAAAAAAAATACCAAGCTCCTTGTAACACCACCACACATCTTTGGAGCACCTGGGTGACTCAGTTGGTTAAGGTCTACCTTCATGATCCTGGGGTCCTGGGAAGGAGCCCTGCATCAGGCTCCCTGCTGAGGGGAGCCTGATTTTCCCTCTCCCTCTGTCCCTCCTCCCAGCTCACACCCTCTCTCTCTCACTCAAAGAAAATCTTTTTTTTTTTTTAAGACTTTACTGATTTATTTCAGAGGGAGAGAGCAAGAGCATGAGCAAGGGGGAGAGGCAGAGGGAGGAAAAGCAGACTCCCCACTGAGCAGGGGGCCCAAAGCGAGGCTCCATCCTAGGACCCCAGGATCATGACCTGAGCCAACAGCAGACACTTAACCAACTGAGCCACCCAGGTGGCCCTAAATAAAATCTTAAAAAAAACAAAAAAAAACAAAAAAAACACATCTTCATTTTCATTTGTCCTTTCTTCCTTTTCCCCCAATCTTGTCCTAAACTCTCTCTCCTAGCCACCAAAATCAAGTCCAAAAGTCAGGACTGGCTGAGAGGAAAGCCAGTTACTAAGCATCTTTCTCCAGTCATTCTTCCTCCTCTACACACACACACACACACACACACACACACACACACACACACACAAACACAACTCGTCATACACACCAAGTCCTAAATGGAAATGTAACTGATGCTTGGGCATGAAGCATCAACCAGGGTTCTTTCTTTTCCTGACAGGGGCTGGAAGGTAACACTAGTGTAAGAAGGCAATTTACTCAGTGACTAAGGGAAAAAGATGGATTCAAAACGAACTCCTACACAAGACAGTTTGTGACAGAAAAAGCCCTATCTGGAACAGGAATGATGCCTCTAGAGAGTTTTCTTCTAAAAACAGAAAACTATCCTCTTGGTTTTATCCTGCTTCCTGGACGTATTCAATTAAGAAAATAAATCATACTTTACTTTCAGTAATGTTTTAGAGATCTTAGGGCACAAGATCACAAAACAAACAATCCTGTGAAGTCAGAGGTGCAGAGGTTGTTTTTATACCCATTTTACAGGTGAGAAGCCTGAGGTTCTGGAAGGTGGGTGAGCCAGAAAACAGCAGGTCATGGATGGGACTCCAGGTTTCCTGACTCCCAGCCTAAAGGGGCTTTTCACTGAATGGCTGCCTCTCTCTGAAACCATATTTTCCACCACAAAAAAAAAAAAAAAAAAAAAAAATCAACATTATATCATGTACCTAGTAAACATCCTGCTTGTTGATTTTGAGCTACTGCCCTGAAGTATGCTATATGTCATGTATTTAGTTAAGTCAAAAGGAATTAAATCTTTAAAAAAAAAAAACCTCCCAAATTTCATTTCATCCCTTGATTACCATGCATCAGGAGCAAGGAAGAGGAATCCTATTGAAAATCCTTCCTGGACATGGATGTAGGTACTTGTACATAATTAGAATAAAAGGAAAAATACATGTCGATATGAGACCCATATTTGACAACCCAAATACCCAAATCTTGTCCTGACTCATGTCAAGGTTATGTTGTTATGGTATATGTGCATGATTCCGTCCTTCTCACATGGAATCCTTTATGGAGGCTACAGGGGGTGTGGTGGGCAGAATAAAGTTCCCTTGCCCCCCAAAATATCCATGTCCTAATCCCTGGAACCTGGACATATGTTACTCTACATGGCAAGAAGAAGGAGGAGGAGGAGAAGGAGAAGAAGGAGAAGAAGAAGAAGGTGAAGAAGAAGGAGGAGGAGGAGGGATGGGGGAGGAGGAGGAGGGATGGGGGAGGAGAAGGAGGAGGAGAAGAAGACTTGGCAGATGGATTAAGTTAATGACCCTGAGATGGGGATTTTATCCTGAATTATAGGGGTGGATCCAAGGTAATTACAGAGGCCCCTAAAAGTAAAAAAGAGAGAGGCAGGAGAGGAGATCACTGTGATGAGATGTGAGAAGGACCCAAACTTCTTTCCGTGACTTTGAAAATAGGGAAAAAGCCATGAGTCAAGGAGTGAAGGTAACCTCTAACCTCTACATGCTGAACTGGGCAAAGATTCAGTTTCCCCTAGACCCTTCCCAAAGGAACACAGTCCTACTGACACAATTCTAGACATCTGAGACTAGTGTTGGACTTCTGGTCTATAGCACTCTTAGATAATATATGTGTATTGTTTTTAAGTCACTGAGTTTGTGCTAATTTGTTACAGCAGCAATAGAAAACGAATACAGGGGCTCGACTCAGATGACGGGAAATTCCTTGAGCATCTGGTTACTTCTTGATTTGGACTCCCTCTGCAACGTCACTGTTTTGGAATCTCATTCCCACTACTAGAAAGCAGCACTTTGATTCTCAGAAACCAAGAAAGTGAGAATCTGAATTTCCTAAAAGATTTCCATACTTAAAATTATGCTGATTTTTTATAGTTCTGCTAGAAATAAAAGCCCATAGGAAAGCATAGCCATTTCTGGTTGCAAAAAAGGGAGGGAATTTGGGAAAGGGTGAAACATAATGTTTATTAAAGGATTATCATTCAAGATCAGCTTGGATCCAAGTAATGCGGGGGAACTCGAACGCCCCTTGAGAAACCCCTCCTCCCTCTCCCAGTCCCATCCCCAAGGAAGGTGGGTCAAGACCAGAGGCAAGGTTACCTTTTAGAAGAAAGGCATCCCTACACTGCCCAACCCCACCACCCCAGCCTGGAGTGAAGCAGGCTACCCCCTAAATTTAACCCTAATGAATCCTGGTACTCCCTGGCTCAAAGACAATGCTGTCACCATTTCAAATCCAGCCCCTTGGGGCTGATTCAGGAAAGAATCCTTTGTGCTCTTTCTCAACATTATCCAGAAAGGTGCAGAAGGGGATAGACAATGCAAATCAACCTGAGGCATGAATGAGACCGGAGACCCAGAAAATGGTTTGGTGCAGCCTCTCCTCTTCAGCAAGACCGAAACTGGACATTTTGGCAATGAAGATAAAATTTTATGTAAACCCATTTTAAGAGCTTGGTAGGTTGTAGCTGCGGAAAGATCCTTGTGTGGGATATTGGAGGCCTGAGTTCTGTTCTGAGCTCTGACAGAATTGCTGGGTCATTTGGTAAGTCTCAATTTACATGCTTTTAGGGGTTGTGATGGATGGTCTTCCAGCTCTGCTACTCTAGGAACCTCTGCCCCAGAAACCAACTACTGACCAAAAGAACAATGGAAAATTGTTCACCAAAGACTCAGTGTCTTGGGTGTTTGAGGATCTAAGAGAGTACAGATTGGGATTGGGACCCAGTCAGTTCAAGCAGAACACCTGGTCAGCTGCAGAAGACGTGGATACCAGGATGGTTACAAGAGAGGTGGGGGGCCATCCAGCGGCCCCCTCTGGTTTCCTTTTTGGCTTCCCACCCCCACTCCCTGGTGTGAATTCCAGTCCAAATTCTGGTCCAGATCCTAGATTGGACTGAGAGAGCTTGAAGGGTGTGGCCAGGAGAGGGAGGGTCACCCTGATCTTGGGCTATAGGTGAAGTGATTTCCAGACAACTAAAGGCAGACTCTCAGGAAGGGTTTGTTCAGCTGCACAGAGAGGTAGGGGTTGGCACAGAGGCGGGGAGGCCGCCTGTGTTCCCACGTTGCCCCATCCTCCAGGCCCAAATTGCAGAGGGAAGTGGCTGGAGTTTGAGCTTCCGCGACCCAAATTCGAGTCCCAACTATGAGTGACTTTGGACATCCCCATTCCCTTGTCTGGACCCGTCTCCCCACAGGTCTCATCGGGGAGGGGATTCTTTCTCCTGCACTGCAGTCTGGCTCAGGCTGGGACGGAAGGAACACTTGGCGGCTGCACGGGGCTTCTCCTGTTGGATACCCCGCTTCCCCTGCCACCCATCCCTCCCGCCCGGTCCTCCCCACCTCCCTCCTGCCGGCAGTCCCTCCCCGGTGCCCGCTCCCAGGCGTGGATCCCACTCCCCCCGCGTACCTGCGCCGCGGGCCCCGCCGGGCTGGCCGGCCCCGGAATAGGGCGTGCCGGTGGGGACAGCAGGGACAGGGCGGCGCCCGGGACTGCCCCCTGGGCCCCGTGTGCCCAGCCTCCGCAAACCCGGGCGGGCCAGGGGGCCGGGGGCGGCGGGGGTCGGCGGCAGCAGCAGCAGCAGCAGCCAGAGCAGCAGGAGCAGTCCCGAGAGGTGGCGCGGCATGGCGGGCTCCGCACTTCTGCCGGTATCGTCGTCGAAGGTTCGCTAGCTCCAACACGCAAGAGCCTGGGCCGCGTGCCCAGGCGGCCAATTTAAAGGTCCCGCCGCCCCGCGCCCCGCCCACCCGTGGCCCCGCCCCGCGCCCCGCCCACCGCCGGAGCGCCGGTGGAGCCTCGAGGCTCGGCGCCCGGGACCCGCGGGTTCCTGTCCGCGCATTCCGGCGGCAGAAACGGAATGTCTGGGGCAGGCCGGCGGCGGCGCGGTGCCCGAAGTCCGGCCCGCGGAGGCCCCCGCCGGGCCTCGTCTGGGTGGGCAAGGCCGGGCGCCTCCTGGCCGCGCTCCGCCTCTCCCGAGACTTGCGCTCAGGCCTGCGAACCCCCCGGCCCAGTCCGCCCGCCCTGCGCTCTCTTGCCGCCCCAGCAGCCCTGACCCCCGGCCCTAGCCGAGGGGGCTCCGGGCTCTGTCTTCCCGCTCCCGCCGGCGGTGCCTGTGGCGAGGTTTCATCTCGCTCCTCACACTGCATTCCTTTCCCCAGCCAAGTCACCCAAATTTTGCTGTGGGCTCTCAGTAAAAGAAAAAAAAAAGCCTCACAGATTCTAGCAGCATGAATAGGAACGCTTTCATCCCAGCTTCAAACATCCGTAAGCATTTGAACTTATATTACCAGGAATAGAAAGGCAAACATACATTCCCCAGAGAACCCCCTGGCAGCTGGGAGGCCAGCTCGTACCAACAGAGGCTTCGAAGGCGCTCCCGAGACCCCATTTCCTCTCCGGAAGAGGGATGGTGGCAGCAAGGGGGTTGGGGCCCCCGAGGGGACCCTCGGAGAACTGTCTACTGGGAGAAAAGCATAAATGGTCTCAGGGAACATGGTGAATTTAGGAAAAACAGAATGTCTCCGCCCGAGGAAAGCAGGAAGGCTTCTAAAAACAGGTGAGGTTTGAGCTGGGTCCTAAAACCTGACAACGAAGGCGAGTTCCAACAGATCCAACCTGGTCTCCCTGCTTCCAGACTATGAGTCCTCTAAAATCCACACTCCACGCAGTAACCTTAAAAATCACTTCCTTGCAACTTTGCTTCCAGTAAAATCCAAATACCTTTTCAGGGCCAACAAGCCTCCTGGAGATTCAATCCCACCTCCCCCTGCAGCACTGACCAACATCCAGACCTGTATTCCTGCTCTCCATGCCTCAACCAGGCCAGCCTTGCCTTCTCCGCGGCCTGGAGGACACGGAGCTTGTCATCAGGTTAATGTCTTCCTCAGAGCAGCCTTCCATGAGGCCAGACCTTAAGCAGTTTTTCAAGCTTATTTTTACCACGACCCATGATAACAACTACATTTTACATTATGAGCCAGCAGCTACATAAATATATATATATATATATATATATAACACATATATCCACAAAACAATACTAACACTTAACCACTTTTGATGCTGTTCTATTCACCTCCATTCAGTTCTGTTTCATTTGTTTTTAATGTGATCACGAGCACGTGAGTTTGTGGTTCACTAATGTTTCCCAGTTAGCAGTTTAAAAAATTGTGTTTTAAATAGATTCTTTCCTACTGTCTCTGCCTTCTGATCTATCATAGCATCCTGTGTGTTTCATTTGGGGGACTTCCTTAGCTTGTAATTATTCCATTTATATTCCATTTATTTATGTTTATATCCCTCCCACCAGACTGTAGGCTCCAGAAGGGCAGAGCTAGTGCCTGTGCTGCATGCCTCCGTACGCATGCAGGTCTGCAATTGGGCTGAAAACTTAGGGAAGGGAAGATCATAGAACAGGGCTGAAAATTTAGGAAAGGGAAGATCATAGAACAGGACTGAAATTTAACTCTGTCTTGGCAGGATAGTAACAGGCACAAGAGACTGTGAGAAAAGAAACTACCTGTCATCACTTTTTCCAAGAGCCCAAGGATGCTGAGGAAATGGTTTTGCTCAGTTTCACTTCACTGCCTGACAACAGATGGCTCTAGGCTGGGCACTGGCTCCAGAGACAGTCCTTTCCATTGGCCTCCTCTAGCGGGGAGTAGGTCCTTCTCTACCACCAGGCTCCTTCTCTGAAGAAATTCTGGGGTACAAGCAACAGAAAGTGTAATAGTCTGTTTCAGCACATTTCCATGTAGGCGTATGTGAAGATTAAGACTATTTGTTTAGGCTAAGGAAATAATTGTGGGTAGTTTTCCCTAAAAATTCATTATACTACTACTACTTTGTTTTTATAATTCTAAAAAAAAAAAAAAAACAACAATGTCTTTACTGGTCAGCTCTGGCTACGTTGGGCTATGGTAATGATGATCCTAAAATCTCAGGGACTCCTAACAAGAAAAATGTATTTCTTGCTCTGTTATGTGTCCTTCCTAGGGTGGCTGCAATTCTTCCCCACCTCATCTTCATTCTGGAACCTAGACAAGGGGCAGACCCAATCTCAGATATGGTGGTCTTGTGCCAAAGGAAGTAAATGAAAGATTAAAGAACCAGATGACAGAGCTTACCATTTCTGCAAGGAAGTGGCCTTCCTCAATCCCACTCACATGTGATTGGCCAAAGCAAGCCAGGTCCAAGGGTGGGGAGTAGAAGGCTTTTACAGCAAATTGCTGCAAACCATAATACAACCTATCGCAATTTATTTATACACCTTTTATAATGGGATGAATGGGTGCGCTCTGAGGTCTCCTCTCTAGATTCGGTAAGAATCTTTGGTCTCTGAATCCTGATCGGCTTTTCGTCAGAGGCCCCTCCCTCTGGGCCATCCAATTCCGACTTTTTTTTTTTTCTTTCCTTTTTTAGAATTTATTTTTAAGTAATTGCTACCCTCAAAGTGGGGCTCAAAACCACAGCCCCGAGATCAAGAGCCATATGTTCCCCAGACTGAGCCAGCTAGGCGCCCTTAATCCTGACCACTAACAGCTTTCCAGCTGCACAGGTGGGAGAGCCTCAGTGGACTGATTTTTTGTTCCTACTGCTTGGCGTCCCGTGATAGAGGAGCTGCACTAGCCCTCAGCGCAGACCCACTGGGAAATGTCCCTGGAAGCCCCTTCCGGCCGGTAGTCAGCCCCCGGAGCCATGCCCACTCTTACCTCCTGGTTGTGGGGTGCTGCCCAGCTCCAAAAGTCTCCCGGGACACATGCAAGGCCATGGTGTCGGTTGGATTCCAAGAGCTATTTTCTCACATCCTGGGCTTACTGATTCATAACCAAAACACCTAATTGTGCTCATTTATAGAAACTCCCAGATTCAGTTCTCTCTGACTCCACGTGCCGGAAACCTAAGGGGAGGAGGCCTATTGTGCAGATCTGAATGCCAAGGTTCTGCCACCTGAGTCTGAGAATCACTCAGGGGGCTTATTACAGGCAGCTTCCTGATACTCGGGAATTAAAAGGCAGGTACCCAGATACTCTCATGCAGATGGTTTGGGACTGGGCCTAGGAACCTGCATTCAGCAATCTCTCTAGGCAGCTGACACTTGAGGGAATTTGCAATGTCTGGGTTCTGATGGTCTCGGCAATAGACCCCGGGGCAGGATCCAATGCAAGGGCAGCTGCAAGGAAGTGGTCACCCAGCACAGAAGGCCTTTGAGGGACTGCCTGTGTGGTCAGAAGACTTCGGCCGGGGGGACTCTCTCTCCTCCGTCACACTTCTCAAGAGTGGTCACTAACACTCAGATCACCAAATCCAAAGGCTTCCTCAGAGAGTTCGGACAGCTCCCCTGTTGGAAGGGCTGGTGTGAGATCCTGATTCTACCCGAATTGTCTATTTCCTTTACACTTGTTTCCCTGCTTCCCATATTCCACACAGTCTAGAAACCCATAAGACTTTCTCTAGGTCAGCTTTTAAAAAATTGTAATAGATTTTTTTTCTTAACCGTAAAAGTAATGCAACTTACTGTGGAGTTCAGAAAATGTAGACCAGCAAAAATAAGAAAATAAAGACCATCTGTAACGCTACCATCCAAAGATAAGCTATGTGGTATTATCTCTTTTTCTCTGCTTGTATCTATTAAAAATGAGATCACGGGGCGCCTGGGTGGCTCAGTGGTTAAAGCCTCTGCCTTCGGCTCAGGTCATGATCCCAGGGTCCTGGGATCGAGCCTCACATCGGGCTCTCTGCTCAGCAGGGAGCCTGCCTCCTCCTCCTCTCTCTCTGCCTGCCTCTGCCTACTTGTGAGCTGTCTGTCAAATAAAAAAAATAAAATTAAAAAATTAAAAAATAAAAATGAGACCACACTGTATATTATGACCTTATTACTTGCTTTTTGTACTTAATGTATAGTGAACATTTTTTATATTCTTCTAATACATCATTTTTAATGGTTATATTGTATTCCATCATATATTTTATTCATTGATGCAATTCTCCATTGTGGGACATTTAGTTTCTACTTGCTTTTTAATGATAAACTGTGCTTCAATGAATCTGCTTTTGTGAATCATTGTGAACTGTTATTCTTTCTTGCTAGAAGTGGAATGTCTCGGGGACTAGGCCTTCTTGAGCCCCTGTGTACCATCATATAAGGAATTCCACTGAGTGTGGTTTCAGCCGCCACCTCTCTAGTGCTAAATCCCAAATCCGTCCATGTCTCTTGTCCAAGTCCCACTCCTGGGCAACACACTTACACTAATAACTCTGGCTGTTGTACTCTCTATTCAAAGGTGACAAAACCACCTCAGGCTCAACCATATCCAAGGATGAACTCAACATCTTCCTCTTCTTTTTTTTTTTTTTAAAGATTTTATTTTTAAGTAATCTCTACACCCAAAGAGGAACTCAAACTCACAACACTGAAATGAAGAGTTGCACACTCCATTGACTGAGCCAGCCAAGCGCCCCTCCACATCTTCCTCTGTAACGAACTCCCTTTCATGCATTTCTAGCATTCTCCCAGCCACACAGGCAGGAATCTTGATGTCCTCTTTCCACTCTCCATCCCCTTGTATTAAGGTTATCAAGCCTTCTACCTGCATCTCCAATTCTGTCAAATCCTCAAAGTATATC